CACTATTTTCAATAAAACTATTTGATTTTGAATTAATATTCATTTATAGAGAATAAAATAATTTTTATAAAATTACAGTTTCGTAAATATTTCTATTAAAACATTGAATTATAGTTTATAATATATCTCAACTTGTGAACATATTAGTATGAATTGCATAAAAATTTTGCATGTTTAAGATTATTGAAATAATCTGAAATTATTGAAATGGTATTGAAATAAATTGAAATTAAAGTAGTATAGCCATATTTTGGCCACCCTGTAAGATTAGCCTTGTTATTTATTTACTATTTAATTGCTATTATATTATTATTCACTGTATATCACTATAGTAGCTACTAAATTGCGTTATGTTTGTTATATAAGTGTTTATAATATGGAGTGCTAATTAAGTGTCGTAATAAAACTTGATTTGTATTTTATGTTAAATCTATTGAATGTTATTTTAAATTATATAAATAAGCATTAACATTCAATTGTGGAGCCATTAATATTGAAATTCATTCTTTTGAATTAAGAATAATTTACTCTAAAAATATACTGTATTTTCATATTTACTTTCATTGTATTAATATGTGTCAGTCTGACAAGTTATGAAAACTTAGATAATGATTATATTTATAATATTTAATATATGGTTTACCTATTAATAACAGACATCCTTAATATTTGAATTGATATTTGAATAAAATTGATTAGAATTCTGTGTTCATTAGTGTTTGATTAGTAGTGATCCTGTTATTGTATTTGCGTCATTTTATATTGCAACGTGACAGGTCTAGCGGGTTGTACTCGACCAAGAGTTAAGCGCGTGAAACGAGTCCTACCTGTAATACCTTAAACTCAACTGTTTTATTTATACAATACATAAAAATTAATTTTTAATTATTTAGTATTTAATTAATTAATGTTACAATTACTTAAACTTTTGAATATTATAATAAAATTTTATTATATAACATATCTACAACATAAAAAATACAATTAAAATTCAGTATCCTGAATTATTTTTAAGGTTTACTTGTTTATTTTGTTTTTATACTCAAATAATATTTAATCACTTTGTACATTTTTGGTACACTTTCTCTAAATACAATTTAGCATAATTATAGATAATTTTAAAATATTTGAATGTATTGAATGTGTAGAAAACTAGTGATTTATGTCCTGCAGGTGTTGGCAATGAAAATATTATTGAATACATAATTATTTACATATTCCGTGGATATCAATGGATACAAAATTATTACAATTGTGACACAAACTTAAGGTCTCACCAATTGTGACACATTTATTGACAAATTAATGACATTTATATTAAATATTTACACAGACATAAATCATACATATTATTCCACTATTGAATTTGTATTGATATTTTAAGATTGCAAATACGATAGTCATTTTATGTGTTATCTTATATACATTTCTCACTTGAATAGCAAATAAATCTAATAGATATTCAAATGAGTAAAGCATACAAACCATGAAAATATCACTAATCTATACAATCCTAGTCCTTATCGGCACAGGTATGTAATTTCTACTATAAATTATACCTCTATAATCATTATTGTATATTGCTGTGATGCCATTCCCCAGCCTATGGTCAGATTATTGGTGGAGGGTGCACCACCTACGATTTGATACAATGTCAGAATACCGTACCTCCCGTGCCGGCCGGTGTGTACTCATACCAGGGCTGTCAGCGCACATCTACCCGACTTCGCACCTGTCTTTATACCTGCAATGAAATTCCGTGTAATAATCAGTGCGTCCTATTTCAGGACTACCGGCGCGGGGCCTGTATGTATGACATGACCCGACAAACCACTTCCTGTCAGTGTTTCAGAAACTAATGGCTAAATGTATGGCATCTCATGAATGGGAACTACATTTGATGAGACAGTAGTGAAAGGTATTTATAAAACTATTCCCACAAAAAACATTAAAATTAATCATTAATTTACTATTTTTAATAAGTGTGTAGAAAATCTAAATTTATATTAGCAAGCAATATAATTACATAAAAATTATACATTTTAAGAATACACTTTAAATTTCTAAAATATAAAATTATTATTTTTATGTACAATTTTACAACAAAATATCAATAAATAAATTACTCATTTCTAATTTCAACAAAATTAATAATCGTTTCACAATTGTTATAGATTTTAAAACATATGGCCCAGTTTTGTAATACATGTATTTTAATTTGACCTGGTATTATACGTGTATATAATACATGGTATTTTACGTATTATACATCTCTATAATATACTGTATTTATCAAATAATTTCAGTATTCGTGGGCTAATCACATTAATTATGTCAATTAGACCTGCTTGATAAACTAAATTATGTTTGAAAAACTAGTTTACCATAAAAATACTTTATACTTTACTCGAAATCAATGACAAATATTTAAATTTTTAGCCTATATATAATCCTCAATTTGCTTTCTAACATCAGATATAATTGATTAACTTGTAATTAGATTTATATTATGGTGTAAATTTATAAATGCACTAGTTAAGTAATTTCGTCATTTTGAAAGCTGTGATTATTAATTATTAAATTAATAAATAATTCTTTAGATTGAAAATATTTAAGTGTTGATATACAAAATTAATAATAAGCTAGCTTTTATAAAAATTTTTAAATTTTTTAAAAATCATAAATTTATAATAATAATAAACTTGTTATTTAATCAAAAATGTATTATTTTTATGTTTATTTGAGTGGTAGTTGGAGGACAGGCTGTTTGAGACATTACATTGCATTTGTAGAGCATCTCTACTATTGATATCTAAATAGAGATAAGGATTC